AGACAATCTCTGGGATAAACAGAAAGTTGCAGAACATATCATAAAAAAATATCATTTAGATGACAGTTCATGATAACCTGAAAAATTTTAGGCTTGAAAGAATTCTATGTTTCTAATTCCATTTGTGGTAGTAAGCATAATATTCATATACACAAATAATATGTTTGACATGCAGCTGTAATTTCGTTCGCAAATGTCTACTTTCGTTTCGCAACCACATCAAATCAAAATTCATACTTACCAATTTGCATATAATGCACCACCATAACCGCACGGAATTGTGGGTATTCAAGTTGGTTTGTTTAGGCTCTCTGATTGGTCGAGCCCAGCGTGAGTTTCGTCCGCCGCTCATAGAGGCAGTAGTTACCGTGTTGCCCTTTCTCCTATTCAAGATTCCACCCCCTGGTCCTGATCGTCCTGATCGGGCGTGATCGTCCCAGTCGTTTTGATGTCCGTGTTGTTGGTGAGGAAGGCACGTGGGCCACGTGACAGTAGATAGAAATATTGGGCTGTCATTTAATTAAGTACTTTTATATAATTCAGTTCAATATAATAGCAATGCATGTAGCATCTGAAGATAAAATTGAAGCTATAGGCCGAGTACTTAGTGACCAAACCAGACCTCTCAAAGAGAGGTTCCGAGCTTTATTTACTCTGAGAAATCTTGGTGGCTCTGTGGCACTGCGTTGTATCGAGCAATGTTTTACCGATCCGTCAGCCTTATTGAAGCACGAACTTGCATATTGTCTTGGTCAAATGCAAGATACTAGGGCCATTCCGGTGTTGAAACGTATCCTGGCCGACAGAAATCAAGAATCAATGGTTAGGCACGAAGCAGGTTTGTTGTTTGTTCATTCATTCATTCATCAGTAATCTGTCAGACGACAGGTTCACAGTCTCTTCCAAAACAGTTCCTCCACTTAATACGATCTTTTGTTTTTGGAAAGAGGCTATCCAGGAAAAGTGATAATGTGGTAGTTTTTCCATTTGCTTCTTATAGTGTTAAAAATTGAATTAGGTTAGTTGTATTCTGTAGTGTTACCGGTAGTCTGTGAGTCCTATTATGACAAAAAAATATGTATAGCAGAAACTATAAACATTTAAGTGTGCTCTTTTCCATTGTCTAATGTGCCTTGTTATTAAACGTGCTTGATTATTATTTTTGATGCCATATTGTCACAAGAAAAGATTGTCATAGAATTAGATTCACATTTGATTTTGGTTTCAATGGAGATAACAGTAGTGATGAGCCATGTGTCATGCCTCAGTATTGTTATTTTAAATTTCCTGGGTATAATACTTCCAATATTGTGACAATAATGACATAATGTACACCAGTTATATGTCTAGAAGATGAATAAATAGTTGATAAAGTCTGCTGTCAAATCAGATATCTATGTAGTGATGTTTCTTCTCATTAAAACATATACATATGGCATGGTGCAGTTTTAAGTTAGAAAATGTTAAGTTTGAAATATTATAAATTCTATGTAATTGATTCCATAAAATTAGTATTTTTGGTCAGAACATATCTTTTTAAAACCATTCAGAAGATAAACTGAAGGATTGTTAGCATGCCCATGTTTGGACCACCTTGACTTTCTCAGGTTTATGTAATTTTTGCATTGAAGCTATTCACTTTGCAAAGTTCTGTTATTGAAACCATCAGGTTCCATGATTAGTAGTCACAGTGTTGTTCATTTGTGAGTTGTAGCTGTAAAATAAGTATTCTTGATGATAAGTTAAAAGCTTTGATGATTTGTTTCTAGTAGCATATTGGTTGTGCTGAGTATCACAACATTTTCAACTTAATATATGATATTGACGTCTGCCATGTTTTGCATGATATTTGATTACAAACACATGTAAATTATGAATGTGGTTCTGAAAAGAAGTGTGATAATCTTGGAACCATTATAATTGCACAAATGGAATGTATATTCACAAATTTCACGTACTGAAATCAGCGTTATTCAGCAACTGCCTATTAACACAGATTGTCAGATTAATTTTTAGGAAAGGAAGCAGGATTATGAGACTGCCATACTCTCCTCCCCTCACAAGTTTTAAGTCATTCCAGTGATTCTCATGTAATGTCATATGAACATTGTACAATTAGAAGCCACTGCACCATACTTTTTGATGTATTGCATTCAATAATAATATGACAGAAGTGTGAACTTGTGAAATGGGAGCTATAGTGGTACCACTTAAATTAATATCCTGGAATGAAGTGTGGTGATAGATATTTGTAAAAGATCCAACTTTTTTGAAGGCCCTATATGTATACTATATAAATCAACAAATGGCTGTGTGAAATCTTTGTTTAGCTTTTGGTTTGCTGGCAGTAGTTAATCAACCATTGGACTTGTGCATTTGAAATTTTGTATGGCTCTAGGATCATAAACAGCTACACATTTTGCATGGAACATTGTTTGTAATGTAATGTATGTAAGGGGTGGGCCATAAAAACCGGCCCCTGCACTACGACCTTCAGTGATCTAATGTGCTTCCCCTTTGATTAGCCTCTTATTAATCCTACACTTTTAATAAAGTGTAGGACCATGCTTATGGGGCCATCATAAAAGTTACTTGGTTTCATAAAAAACTGATNGCCTCTTATTAATCCTACACTTTTAATAAAGTGTAGGACCATGCTTTGGTTTCATAAAAAACTGATCCAAGTGACGAAATCTTAAATAAGCTATGGCCTCACAATCACACAGGATGTGTGTGGCTGATTTGTTTTCTTGTAGGCACCTTTCACAAGTTGGGTTATCTGTCAGTCCCAGCTTGTAAAGGTGTCCTTTTAGGTGGCAGTGTCCGGTAAGTAATCCTACCACCCATCTTAGTTGATCTCTGTTTAATCTCAACAGATCCTTCCTTCTTCTGGCAGAGGGTCCTGATATAAAACCCATTGCCTGTTTGAGTCCAATTATGGATTCTCAGTATTTTTTATGATTCCCATCAGTGCAGTCCCTGATCACTTTTTTTTTGGCAACTCTAATTGAGATGCCGCAAGCTGGTTCAGGTACTATGAACAGCTGCTCAGCTCCTGTTCTTGCCAGCTGATCTGCGGTTTCATTCCCTGCTATACCCTCATGACCTGGCACCCATATCAGTTGTACTCTGTTATGTCTGGCCAGTTGTATGGGGGATTGGTGGCAGTCCCAAACCAATTTTGAAGTGATTTGGTGTGTACCAAGTGCTTTAATTGCAGCTTGACTGTCTGATAGGATATGGATGTTCCTATTTCTATAGTTCCTATCTAAATTCTCACCTGTGTATGCCTTACTGGCATACGCCTCTGCCTGGAATACTGTTGTGTACTGCCCAAGGCTGTGAGGTATGCTTCTGTCTCGTTCCATCACAATACACCCCAGGTCCAGTGCCTTTATTTGTCTTGGAGCCATCTGTATACCAGATTAGTCCCCCCTTTCTATCGGGTTGAAACCCCTCTTTCCATTCACTTCTATCTGATCGTGAAGGGTCTATCATAAACATGTTTCGGTAGCGTTTTATCAGATCCCATCTGTAGGATGGGTTCTTTGTTCATATCCCGAGTCATGTTTGCATGTCCAAAACCTTCAGATTTAGGTCTTCATTAATCATTGCAACGTAATCTCTAATTTCCTAACTTAGCCTCTGCTTCCATCTGCAAATGCAGTGGAGGGAGTCATAGTAGAATTTCAATTGCAGCTGTTGGAGCTGTTCTCTTTGCTCCCGTAATTCCCAAGCAGGCTGTCCTTTGCAGTTTGCTAAGTTCTGCCTTATTTGTTTTGAGTTTGACTCTAAGCCACCATATAGTGGCGGCATAGGTAATTATGGGTCTTGCCACTGCAGTGTATATCCAATATACCATCCTTGGTGTCAGTCCCCAAGTCTTCCCAAAGGTGCCTCTGCATGTCCAGAAGGCCTTATAGCCCTTATTAATAGCCTGATCCAGCTGTTTCTTCCATGTCAGCCCCTTGTCTAATGTTAATCCAAGTTACTTGACTTCACTGGATAGCCGGATCTCTTAACTGAAGAGGATTGGTTCTTTGAGCCCATTGATATCCCTCTTCCTATTAAAGGGTACAATCACTGTCTTGTTTGGATTGATAGACAAGTTTGTCCTTTCGCACCACTGTTGAACTGTATACTGGGCTGTTTGTAAGACCTCTGATACAGCGTGTGGGAATTTCCCATTAATTAGGATTGCTATAACATCAGCATATTCTACTGTGAAATGACCTGTACAGTTGAGCTCCCAAAGATCATCATCCATGACCAGGCTCCACAGGAGAAGGGAAAGAACACCCCCCTGTGGACACCCTTTCACAGCAGATGCTCCTAGGGTCTCTCAAGATAACGTACATTGTTTGTAAGTTAACAGTTAAAAAATGGAGACAGTGCAAAACTTCGAGGTTATATCCAGAAATTTAAAAAAACTACTTCATACATATAGAAAAATAGAATAACCGTAGCAATAGAAAGAATAGATCTGTAGTACTAAAATTTTATGCAGTAACAAAGTAGGCTTTGTGAGCTGTGTTTGATACTTCTTGTTCAGTAAGTAAGGCTGCTTTCAGTTTTCAGAAGACTCGTTTAATTTAATTTCCCATTTATGAGACATTGTATCTTCACATTTGATTCCAGGTGAGGCTTTAGGAGCAATAGCATCGTCAGATGTTAAGGATATTTTAGAAGAATATTCGGATGATCCTGTAATTGAAGTTGCAGAAACTTGTCAGCTGGCTTTGAGTAGAATTAGGTGGTTGGCTGAGTCTGGCCAGTCAGAAAAGAAATTATCTGAAAATCCATATGCCTCTGTAGATCCTGCACCTCCATCACAGGAAACTGATGTAACAGTTTTGAAACTGATGTTAAAGGATGAAAATCTAAACTTGTTTGATAGATACAGAGCAATGTTCACCCTGAGGAATTTAAAGACATCAGAGAGTATACTGGCCCTTGGTGAAGGTATGTGTAATTTTAAAGTGGCATAATGGAGGTAGCATTGGATTTACAAATTGACTGTTATATGTTAATTGGGTTTTTGTGCATTCTTCGGTACTTGGTCTGCAGACATGCTTTATACTTAAAGGATGAAAATGAGAGACAGGTTTTTGCTAGGTTGAGACTTTGTTTTCCACAGTGTTATTTTAACTGTCTTTAAGGATTTTCTGTGTATGGATAGAATTTGTGCAGGAACACTGACACAAAAGCTGAGACACCTTTGAATCTCATACCAGGCTGATACTAAAGTTGGGGCATCTTCCAACCTGACTCTGGGCCGATATTAAATGTGGGACACCTTTGGATCTGAGCCTCTATGTTACATGCTGAACATCCTTGATAGAAAGCAGAAATTTTTGTGGCAGCAAATTTTGAATGTGTAAACTCTTGGAAGTATCAGTGAATAAATGATTCTTGTCATGACAGCAGGAACCTCAGATCTGACTTAAATTTTAGTTTGTAATTATAGTTGTCGGCATTAATTTTCTTGTATAGATTCAATGTGCATATTCAATTTTTAATGCAGGTTTGAAGGCTGGTAGTGCACTCTTCCGCCATGAAGTGGCTTTTGTGTTGGGGCAGCTTCAGAAAGATAGCAGCATTCCTTATCTGCAGGCTTCACTGGAAGACCATGCAGAGAATGAGATGGTGCGTCATGAATGTGCCGAGGCTTTGGGAGCGATTGGCTCTCCAGTATGTGTTAATATTTTAAGGAAATATTTAGAAGATGATAAACGGGTTGTGAAGGAAAGCTGTGAAATAGCATTGGACATGTGTGAATATGAAAATAGCCCAGAATTTCAGTATGCCAACACTTTGCTTAAGTTATAGATTTGAAAATTTATTTTACTTTTCCAGACTCAAAGAGTAACTTTAATAAAAGTTTCATATCATGAAGACAGTATTTACTAAAACGTATTAGTGTGTTACATGAAGGTGATATATATTGATTACAAGACCCCACATTTATTATGCACTGCCTAACTGAATACTGAAGATAGATGGTAGGTTTCCCCACTCTTACCTTCGAGCACTGTGGGTTACCTCTGTTGCTGGATGGAGTTCTGTTCTTGTACTCATCACCGTGCACCTTCATTACTTAGTCGGCCTGTACCCAGACTGATTCAAAAGTTCTTAGATTGCAGTACTTTTAGATCCTTGAAACTGAATTTCTGGAGATGGAGTTGACTGATTTAAAAACTTTATCCATGCTCATTGCCAAGGTATTTATTACCAGGGATGATATTGTCATGTGTTGGGTATGTGATGCGACAGATAACTTCACACCATTTGGATCTAGCGAATTTATTCCACTCACTCTTACATGTACACAATTCACAGTTTCTCAGTTACTACCATCGCAGTATCACAATTACTTCTCCTGCTGGAGTCACTGCCATTCACTCAATACAACTCAACTCGTAGCTGCTGGACTTCAACTCTTACTGAATACTAGTAACTCTACTCACTGACGAATACTCCTGTTATGTAGCTTCCACACTGACAACACAGAAAACAGTTACGTGATAGCTTTCACTGTGGCGTGACATGTTTACTGATTACCTAGCAACAGTCGCTGCACTGGCTCCCCTGTTGCATGACGCCATGTTTACAGAGGCATTGCTGGGCAACGCTGCATAGCAACCAGCGCGCCTCGGCTCAGCACGGACAAACACCGCTTCCTTACTGTTGCGTAACCTTGTTTCCACCATTGCTTAACTTGACAACCAACCGTTTATCAAGGGTCTGTCTTCGTGGTAACTTGTTCCACCTCCCATTGCCCAGCAATGGTTAGACATGTCACAATATTTTAAGAAATAAAAATTATTGAATATCTGTTCATGCACCTGTTCTGAGCTGACAAAATTTTTGGCAGTGAAAAGTGTTGCAATTTATTTTCTTTTTATTTGGTGCTGTTACTGCAAGCTGGTGTTTTCTCTGATGCATACACTATTAATCCTGTTTGTGGTCAACTGGTGGTTGAAAACTGACACATGTTTTTGTATTGAAACCTCTAGTTATATATCAAGTAGAAGCTAACATCATAAATGGAGGTTCAAGGAGGTCACTGCTTGTATTTCCTGTAGTATGTAAAAGAACTGACTGATTATTTGTAATTTCTGGAAAGGGTATTTATACATTGTTGCATCCTATGTTTCAGTTCATTGTTATTCAAATGAAGACATGATAGCTAGTCTTCTAGAGTGAAACTGTGACTGGAATGGCAAGTGGCTTACAGTTTAAAACTGGCATGATTGAAAGTGATGTATATATATATTTGATTGAAAAATAATAAATTATTTTCAAGTCACAGTTTTTCTTTTTCCTCCTTTAAATTCATAGGTCAAGACTGAGATATTTTACATTTTAATAAAATGTGATAGTATGCTGCGTAAGAAAGTAGATAAGGTAAAGTTATCCCTGTGCTTAATTAATTAAGCACTATGCCATAAAGATGCATGGGGGAATGGATGTAGAGATCCATGTATTCTTGACCTTAGCACTAGTTGGAGATGGATGGTCAGCTTCATACCCTAGGTATCCATTGGGTGGGCTGCAGAACCAGTCTGGACAATGTGGAGAGGAGAAAATTCTGGCCCTTTCAGGGACTTGAATTTCGATCCCTTGGCCATCCAGCCCATGGCCAGTTGCTGTACTGATTGTACTCTCCAGGCTCTTATAAAAAAGCATTATTCCTCTAATATCTTTAAAAACATAATGTTAATTCAGTATATGATGACAGATGCATTACTTTTAAGCACCTAAAATTAATGAGATTACAGTTTGAAAATCAAGAAGGTAACAAATAATTCCAAATGCACAGTATCTAACTAATATAGTACAATATGTTATGGCAGTTTGATTGTACAGGCGACTCTCATTATATGTGCTCTTATTATCAATGTTTTCCCATGTCTGCAGTGTGCTATCTGCAGCCACAGTAGAAGCTGCAATACATGCCCAATGAGTTGTGCATGCAGTTCCCTGACACCCCACCGTTTAGTCATGTCATTTTCTACACCTTTCACACCATGATCACAGTGTCGAGTGCATTTCCAATTTTATGCATTTTTGATGCACATTCCAACTTTCAGGAATGTATCCCACATATAATGAGTGTAACCTGTATTCTCTATTTACCGCATTTCAAAGAACTGACAATTTAAGAGGAACTGTGGGTTAATGAAAAATATCTCATGTTACTGTTTTTATAAAATATTTTGTATTAGTTTGTTTCAGCCTTGCACAATACACAATGCAGTTCAGGAATGTGTATTGTGATTTTACTACAGATTTACTTAGGTGATTACTGTACACAAATGGATAAAATTAAGTACAGTGAATTTGATTTGTGGTTACATACATTAAGAAAATTAGTACATATGTTCTACTGTATGTTTAAAACCACTTCAACATGAACACATTACATCCACATAACCTCCTTTCGGTGATCTGAACTGACACATTGCATGCATTTTGTCACATCTCTTGGTGTGTAAGAATTTAGTCTGCAGCCTTCTGGATCCTAACACTGCAGTTGCATAGGTAACCAATGTTTTAGAGGAACCTGTTATCATATTCAGGGTAGTCAACTCAATGCTACAAATGGAGGCAGGAGGTTCTTCTGAAATGTTAGTAACCACTCATGAGGCTACACAGTGTCATGATCCAGAAGACTGGAATCTGAATTTTTACTGCCATGTATTTCTTAAATATAATAAATGTGTAATAGGTTTTATGAAGATACCCTCTGGTAGAATCAGTGGATAATAAATTTTACTGTATGTAACGTAAGCTGCTCCAGTTTATACACACACACATGCATGGCCATTTTATGGCAGTCTCATCATTTCACAAAACAAATTTTTCTCAGCAGAAGCACCACTAATAACTATTACATCTATGTAGCCACTATAAATCTTGCTTCTAAAATCATTAAAAAATCACCTAAGAGCATTAGAGCATAAAAAAAAAAATTCCTTCCTCCAGAAAAAATTCGGGTCTGAAGGGGTTAAGAATGAAATGACATTTTCTCAAAACTTGAATTCATATTAAAAACATGTATATGCTGATATCAGAAGACAGGATTAAAAAGCATTTTTTGCATTATATATTACAGCTTCAGAACCGAAAATTACAACTAAATCATTAAAGAGAGGAAAAAACGATCATTTTCATTCTGCTAAGAAGTATGACACACCAGCATCATTTAATTTAATTTTTAAGTGGCTACAAATCTGTTATCCTTTAACTGCTGTTTAGAACAAACAAAGTGTAAATACAGCATATTAAATGTGAGATTTAAGGTTCTCACAGTAGTGACTAGGAAGAATACTTTCAGAATATGACTCCATATAGTCTGGTATATAGTTTTGGGGACTGCACTACATGTACGGTTGAACAGCCTGCTGCTTGGTTGGCTTACTTTTCAACACTGAAGATGGAGGCATTACATTCCTCTGAAATGTCAGTAACCATCTACCAGACCAGATGGCATCAAATCTCAGAAGACAGTATCCACCACTTATTAAAAGGTTAACAAAGTATGATAATTCACAATGTGGTATACTGTTATACATCTGTGTTTGTTAAAGAATTTTGCAGAACTTATGAATGATGTCTGTCATATGAATCGGTGGTGATATTCAACCAAATTAATTTATTTTTGCATCAGTATTGTTACTTGGTTTTATAAAACTAACATTATGGTCCAGCAGTAAATACAGTACTCAGTCATAAATGGTGTAATCCACATCAGTTTTACTAATTTAAAGAAACAAGATGCTTGCATCACATTCTTTTTAGATAACTTGGAAATATATTTGAACTGAATGTCAAGAAGACCTCCTTTAAAGAGATGGGACGATTTTTTATGGTGAACTGTGAGGAAGCAAAAAACATAATAGTGCAACACCATAATATTGTGACATGTTGGTCAAATCTTCTAATGAACTGCTTAGAAAGTTGGGTTAATAAGAATGAGCTAATATTAAATATTAGGAAGTCTTGCGCACGATCATTCCACCCAAGACAAAGGGAAAAAGTTTGTAAACCTAGTATTGTTTATAATGATGTAGAAATCCCTTATAAATTGGATGTAGAGTTCTTAGGAATAAAAATTACTGAAAATTTGAGATGGAACATCCATATTAAATCTATATGTACAAATTTAAATAAGGCTTACTTTATTATTAAAACTTTAAAGGAAGAAATAAACTATAAAATGATTAGATCTATCTATTATTCTTATTTTCAGTCAAGACTGAAATATGGAATAATTTTCTGGGGACCAGTCAAAGGTAGTATGATGGTCTTTCAGATACAAAAAAGGTAATGCAATTAATAGCGGGGGTGAATAAAAGAACGTCTTGAAGAAGTATATTTCTTCAATTCAAAATTCTGACCATGCCCTCTCTCTATATCTTGGCCACATTGTGTTTTATCAAACAACTGAGAGATAATCTGGAATGTAATTTCCAGAAGTACGAATACAATACTAGAGGCAAAAATAAATTATATATCCGGGCATGTAGGACAGCCCTTTTTCAGAATAATGTGTTAAAAAAGGCAATTAGATTATATAATAAATTACCAGAAAGAATAAGAATTTTAGAAAATTTCAGAAGCTTTAAAAAGGAAGTAAAATCACTGTTGACCTCAAATACCTTTTACTCGGTTGATGAGTTTTTAAACTTCAACTTTTATTAAAAACTATCAAATTGTGTTGGTGTTAAATCTTTCATACACATTTCCTGACAGTAATAATTTTTTTTAAATGACACAATCAGAAATTGTTGTAATTGTGATGGATTAAGTATTGTAATTATGTAATCTATTGTATTTGTGTAATCGATGTGACTTGTCTTGTTATTATTGACTATTTCTAGATCCACTTTTGTTCCAGCCATACGAGGATCCATGGAAATAATAATATGTACATAATATACAACTTTATATATAGTAAACTATCAGCAGCAATGAACTAACATAAAACAAATATGTAATACCATCCATTTTTAAAAAGGAACTGGACTTATTAAAGGATGCTGTTACTACACAGACTATCTCAATGAAGAATTCTTCAATATTAGCTACTAATAAGTGAATACATAGAATATGTTGTGTTTATAATCATTACTATATTTGAATAATTGTATAATATGAGTGACATGTCCTATGCCAATGTAATTGATTTACAGGGCGAATAAAAATGAACAAATTAACTCACTTAAAGTAAAAACAGAAACTAGTTTGTATGGTCAGCGGACAGATGTCCACATATTTTGTTGTCACTGTTAACATATAGGTAGACTTATTCATATATCATATTGCATTAAGTTAATATTTCTATACAACTAGTCCCCAACTAACATGAGTTCTACAAATACGAATGTGATTTAGCATGGTTTTAAAAGAAGCACTGGTTTTTGACTAACATGACTGGTTTTTTAGTTTATCATGATTCCTCAGCCTCTCCATTATGCAGGGAGGATTTTAGTAACTTCATAAGTTCACGGCTCTGTGTTTCATGATGGCCCATGCACCTATTGCTGCAAGGCACGTATGAATATTGCCAATAAATCAGCCAGTAATGTTTGGAATGAAGGGAAGTAACTTGCAGACTGCTTGATGGTATTATATTTCAAGGCAAGCAATGTGGTTTGTGTGTTAGAGTTTATGATTTGTCAGCAGTAGGCAGCAGTTACCAACTGCAGTAGCCATCTGTTCTCAGTTACAGTTAGCAAGCGTCATGGTGCCGTATACTTTAGAGCAACATGTATTTCTGTATAATACCTATGTGAAATATGGATCTGCTGGAAAGTGTCAGCAAAAATTTCAATGTAAATTTCATGATGAAAGAGTTCCCAGCAGACAAACAATTCATAGTTTGGTGAATAAAATTAGAACAGGAATCTTAATAGACAAGAAACAAAAACATAAGTGCCGAGTGTTTACTGGGGAGAAGTTAGATGACACAGGGGCCACACTTGAACATACACCTAGAAAATCATTTAAACATCTAGCTCAAGAGACTCGAGTGTTAAAGTCTAGTGTAAGAACGGTAACACAAATGCCTAACCCATCCAGTGAAAGCTGGTGTCTGATGTGTTGTAAGTGCAAGAAGGATTGTTGTACCTGTGTTTTTGAATGAATCAGTTAATTGCAGAAAATCTACGTGTAGAGAGGACAGCATCTTCAATACCTCCTGTGATATGTGAACTGTAATGTCAGGCATTCTGATTCACTGGCAAAATTCGCATGCCCTTTCACAGCAAGTAGTGCACTGGTTACCGTGAACTCATAAGTTACTAAAAGACTTCCTTGTATTATTTCTTATGGAAAATTTGTGTTTGACTAACACAATTTTACCTCGTACGAAATTTGTTGAGAATGCATCTATGGTGATAGTGTTGAACTAGGTGTACTTAAAATAGTGTTGATCATATTATTCTATAACATTGTTGCATGTAGAGCTGTTGCTATGCAATGACTGCAAGATGGGTGGATATACCAGGGTCGTTTTGGGGCAATGGCTTGGTAAACACATTCCCAGAGCAACAGACATGAATGCAACAATAGAAGAGCTGTGTTTTCTGTGTGGTTCATGCCAAGATGTTATAAGAAATGGACAATTTAAGAGCTTAGTTCTGTATGGGAGTCTGTAAAGAAAGGACTGGGGCGTGTGAAGCTGAAGAATCTCTACTGTTAAAATCTGTTACCAGGAAAGGTCTAGTGAAGACACTGCAGGCTGAAGAAGACTTAGTGTGTAGTGATTTGTAAAGTGTGGAAATCAGCAATAGTGTTACTGTTATTTGTAGTTACAACCTATATGTGGTCAATAAATTGAGTCACCAATCCAAACCCCATCTACAGTCACACAAACACAACACAATATACAGAGTACTACCTTCGGGATATAACCCCATGTAGTCTGTTGAAAGTCATCCGATGTTTTGGAAGAACATATCTTCTCTATCTTTAGGCTCAAATAAGCTGAGCAAGATACACGTATTAGTGTCAAAGCATGTGGTAAGCTGACTTGCCAGAAGATAGTACTCTTCATAACCACTGGTGTGAGAACCTGAAACCCTACATTCTATATTATGTTTATGATGCAGTATTTTATAATATCATCAATGACCCAATCAGTAATTGTACTTCAAGTAAGTAAAGGTAAGGTAAAGCTGTCCCTGTGCTTAACTAATTAAGCACTACGCCATGAAGGCATATGAGACAGTGGATTTATAGATCTACATTTTTCTTGACCTCGACACTTGTGGGAGGTAAATGGTCAGCTTCATACCCCTAACTGCTTTACCCCCCCTCCCCTTGGGTAAAGAACCCTGGCATCCATCAGATAGGAGGCTGGGTGGGCCCCACTGCCAGTCTGGATGCTGTGGAGAAAATTCTTGACCATACTGGGAATCGCACTCTGACCCCTCAGTTGTCCAGCCTGTACATTATATACATATATAATTTGTTAATATTCTACATATATCAATTTGAAATCTGATTTATTAATTTAAATTTCATATATCTTATAACATTTGTGGTATAATTTGTTTTTATTTTATTGCACCTTATAATCAGATGATGGATTTACAAATTTTAAGTTACATGAATGCAGTTGAATTTGAATTTTTTTATGTTTATATATATTGAAAAACTTTAAGTTACATATAAAACTAATAAAATTATATAAAATTATACGACATAACTATTAACTGTATAAAAATGAACACAGAAGAAATGGAATGTTTCGTTAAGTGATCACGTTGATTAAATTACAAATAAAATCATGTAATACTTGATAGGAATGCATGATGCCTCACATAATACTTTTAGCTATTAACATTTACAAATATGAATACTTTTGTCAATATGTGTACTGCATCTATAGTTACAAACAAGATACCACAGAGGAGAAAGTGCTGGGCAATTCCTCATCTATTTAATAATAATGTACTTAAAATAATATATGTGGCAATATGAATAAAGCTGATATCACTTCTACAAAATGCAATAAAATCAGAGGCCTATATGTGCCAAATAATTTACAGTAAAATGATTCCATGATCTCGCTCCAGTCTTCTCTTTGCCTTCAGTGGCACAAGGCCCATCAGATCAGATGGTGTTGGCAGCCCCACAGTGCTGCCTGTTGACTGCTGATAAAAGATTTCCATTTTCCCACACTGATATCCGTACACTATACTGTCTTCACACCTAGGATCATAATTAATATAATCAGTCTAAACTTAATCACCATACCACCCACCTTTGTACCCAATGGGTACTGGTGTTTTTTCATTTGGGGATACAGCAGCCAGGGTATAACGTTGACTGTTCACCTCCATCTAGTGCCAAATATTAACAAAAGACATCAGCAAAGGCTCATTGTGGACTTGGGTGCCGATCCTTTCTTCTTCCTGCATGGCTGTACAGATCAATGCACTCAAAGGCCTTGTGTTTATCAGGTTTTGGAATCTTCTTGACAGATGTCTGGTAAAACTTGGACAGGGGATCAGCCCAATGCAAAGCCTCAACTTATACAGGATAACACAGAAAAAATGCAAACATATGTAATGCACCAAGTGGGATTCAAAACCATGATCTCAGTGTTTGAGCAGTAGAAGACAGTGCATGCTTTATATCGCATGGCCACTGTGGTCAGCAGTGCCAATCCTTTGCATTTTTCATTCACATACCTTGTTTATGTTATGGTTTATTTTAACAATGCAGTATAATACATGTATGGACTGAATTTAGGAATTAAATACTCACCTAACAACAACTTCAGAGAGACTTGGTGACCGTATAAAATTGTTGTGAAGGCAAGCAACAACCTCAAGTTCTGCACTTGGCCAGGTGCCTCCTCTCTGAATCATGTCCCAGTTAGGATCTAAAGTAAGGAAGCTGTAGGACTCCAGTCTCTCCCCTTGTGGGAAGTGATCTAAACAGTGCTGGAGATGCATTTCAAGTCTGGGCAAACTATTCACACTGGTCTGCCACTGTAAGAGAACGATTATTTGGCTAAGACTGAGGTTCTTATGGAGGTACTCAGCTAGATGGTTCCAACAGTAACACTTCTGACATATATGGAAGGTGACCAGTTCAGATCTTGCTCACCACTATTACTGAGGTTATGTATTATCTTCCTTAGTTCCTCTGGACAAATGCCAGGATAATACTTTCAAATAGGCCACAACCTTTCACTCCAGAGCCTTTCCAATTTATTATTCTTTCTTATTCAATCCTAAATAGTCTGCATTACCGACAACATTGTTAAATAAGCTGGGAATATAACTGCATGGTGGTGAGTATTTAGATTATGGCCTTTGGGCAGACTATACCAATCACGCAAAGTAATTACTTTTTTTAACATTGTTTTACTACGCTCTAAAACTGCAAGATCTGGCTTGCCTGTGACCTGCCAGCAGGTTTTGTGGTCTATAAGAGTATTTCTCCATCTCCAAAAATAACTGTTAATGTCTTTATGCTCTTAAAAGAAAGGAAGAATCTTGCTGAAAATATTTTACTGAAAGTTCTTACTGAATATTCTGTGTAATTCTTCAGTTTACACGCACAGTACCTATTAAATATGGAATTAATTGACTCCAAGATCATATGCAATCATTGCAATCTTGCAAACCTTTAGGAGCTGACTTTTATACATCAAACTCCGTGGTTTTAGTTCGCAAGTGAAGTATAACGACCGAGTGACCGCAGCTTGTCAGAAAAGTTAGTGCCAACTTTAGCAGATAGAGGATGTCGTGTAGTCAGCACAACGAATCCCCACAGCCGTTAATTTTGATTTTCTAGACCAGAACCGCTATTTCCTTGAAATAGCTCCTCAATTACCATCATGAGACTGAGTGGACCCTGTTCCAGACCCACTACTTCTCAGAAAATTTGGTAGTGCAGGGAATCCAACCCAGGACCTCTGGATCTATAGCCAGGAATTCTGATCACTAGATCACAGATACCAGTCCTAATTTGTGCTGTAAACATTACTTACTTGTGCATTCTAAAGTGCCTACTGTTAAGAATATATATATTATATCAATTCAGATTATAGCAATGGAAGGATTGTGGGCCATTGTGTCTGTTCTGAATATTGGCAGCTAAATTTTGTAGAAGTACTAGCAAGACTGGAGGAGTATGTATTTATGTACATGAATCCTTATCATTTACATTTATTGATCTGAATAAGTTTTGCAAAGAGCATGATTTTCAAGTGTGTGCCATCAAACTATATTTAATGTCTGTTACTTATTGTATAATATCAATCTATAGATCTCCAGCAGGGAAAATCCTGTATTTTATTAGCACTCTGGACTCTGTCTTAAATAAGCTCCATTCTACATCCACAAATTTAATCCTCTGTGGCGATTTGAATGTTAATTACCTCAGTAATAGCAACAGCAAAACCCAACTAGACTATTTATTAACTACGTATAGTTTGTATAACATGGTAGATTTTCCAACAGGANTTTAATGTCTGTTACTTATTGTATAATATCAATCTATAGATCTCCAGCAGGGAAAATCCTGTATTTTATTAGCACTCTGGACTCTGTCTTAAATAAGCTCCATTCTACATCCACAAATTTAATCCTCTGTGGCGATTTGAATGTTAATTACCTCAGTAATAGCAACAGCAAAACCCAACTAGACTATTTATTAACTACGTATAGTTTGTATAACATGGTAGATTTTCCAACAGGAATTGATAATAAATCTGCCATGGCTATTGATGGTATTTTTATTGATAAATGTAAAATAAGTAATTATTCTATTATTCCTGTTGTGAATGGCTTGTCTGACCATGACGTACAGTTGTTATTATTAAATAACTTCACATCTCAAGTCTTGAAGGGTCAGTACTATTTTAAACGCCAGATTAATGGAATGAACATTGAGAATTTTAATTTCAAATTAAGTTATGAAACATGGGACGATGTATTCACAGATGATGATGTAGATAATATATTTAATAGCTGTTTAAATACTTATATGAGAGTCTTTCATGGCAGCTTTCCTCTCCGGAAAATCTTTCACAATTATGATAACAAAGTTTGGTTAACTGCTGGAATCAGAATCTTGTGTCAGCACAATAGAAATCTTCATATGCTATGTAGGAGTATAGAAAGTCCTACTTTGCTTGCCTATTATAACAAATACAGTAAAATATTAAGAGAAGTTATGAAAGCTGCTAAAAGAATATATTATAACAAATTGATTGTTAATTCCAATAACAAGTCTAAAACAATATGGAATATAGTAAATAATGAGACCAGTAAATATAATAATAATCATGACCCTCCGCCATTAATCAAGGTGGTAAAAAGATTAACAATGCAACTTAAAAGTAATCTTGTGGCTATTTTTGGGAAGATAGTGGACTGGTTTCAGGCTAACTCATTGACACTGAATCTAAAAAAATCATTTTATGTACTTTAAAGCGAAAATGAGTCAATCTGACCAATCCACTTTAAAGTTCATGGACAAGCAAATAAATAGCACACACTGCATTGTTTTCTTGGGAGTGACACTTGATTCGACATTATCCTGGCAAGGGCATATAACCAGAGTAATTACTAAGTTGAATTCTGCTTGTTTTGCTATTAGAATGCTCATATTGTTTTTAATGATAGAGAATTTAAGGATGGTATATTTTGCATATGTTCACTCTGTGATTACGTATGGTCTTCCCTTTTGGGAAAATGCTGTTAATAGCAAAAACAATTTTATAATGCAGAAGAGAATTATAAGAGTTATTTTTAATGTGAGCCCAAAATATCTTGTCGGGGATTTTTTAGACATTTAAATATTTTACCTTTTTATTCTCAATACATGTACTCCTTGCTGTTGCTGGTAGCAAAAAATGCATCTAAATTTGTAATTAGCAGCGAGATATATACGACAAATACAAGACAAAGCATTAACTTGTATTTGCCTTTGGTTAACTTGTCCAAATGCAAGAAAGGTCCCTATTTTATGGGTATAAAGATTTTCAATCATTTGCCACGGGATATAAGGAAATTGCTGTATGATGTTAATAAGTTTAAAGTGGTTACTAAGAAATTTTTTTACAGGAATCTTTTTACTCAATAAATGAATACTTTGTGTCGTCTGATAAATGAAATCAAACTTTATTTATATTGCTGTTTGAGTCACATTTTTATATTGACTTAAATACTTATTTTACATTTGTATATTATTTTGCAATTGTATGTGTATAATGTATCATATTGTAACGTGTTTCGTCTCTGAAGACGCTGTTCGGATTGTTAACTGGTTTATTTAACAACCTACAAGTCTTGGCTACAATTAATTATAACACTAATACGGGTTTACACACTTTACAAACCCTACACACAAATCTCTTTACACTGTCCTCAGTAGTCTACACGTATTCATAACACGATATGGGAGCAATACCAGTGTCACTGTATTACACACTCCCAATTACTTCTCTTGTGACCCAAGCATTTGCTTCTCACACTATCCCTTCTAATCACACAGTCCGGTATTCTTCTTTCCACTACAACTGAACTCGGTGACTGTTCCAATTCAACTGTGTCCGGCGACAGCTATATTTGGACTCAACTCAACTTAACTGACTGAATAATGGCTAACTCGTAACTAACTGTGAATAGTGTTCGCTGCCCCTTATTTATCCTCGGCACGGACAAGACAGAAAAAAGTTACGTGATAGGTACCGCTGTTGTCTGATGCTGTGTTTGCCGATAGCCTAGCAACGCTGTCGGGAGTTGTTTACTGCTGCATAGCAACCGCGGCATCCCGTGTTACATCACCGTGGCAATGGTTCCCTGGCGCCGCCGCTCCTCTTCCACGTCACCGCGGGGAAACTGGTATCTACCGAGCGTTGCACACTAATAGACGGAGTGGGAGTATGTGACGTCACTCGCGAGATCACAGAGTTCAGGCGACCCCCAACTCTCGCTACGCCATCCACGTCACAATATTAATGTATTATTGTATTACTGAATAGGGTGTAATGTCTTTGTATTACTGTATTACAAACTGACAAGGCTGCTTGTTGTACGGCCACTATTGTATCTTATTTTATTATATGTGGACATCTTCTAAATCCTATGTGATGATCACTGTTATGGATTACTCAAAGAAAAATAAAATGAATGAATGAATGTCACACAAAGCACTGTTCCATAAAAAATACATTTATTCAAATAAAACATCTGTAAAATTATTTATCACTAGCTGTTGATTGTTATTATTATATTGTCACCTGTTTGCCTACTATGTTTTCAATATCACTAATTCATCTTTCATCTTCTTTCAAGTAAAAAGAATATTTAAGATTTGAGGCTTTCACGGCGGTGACTATGAAGAAAGCAGTCTTCTGGGATTTGGCACCGTGTATATGTGGTGTTAACCGACGTTTCGGAGGAACGTATCGCCTCCATCTTCAG